TAACCCTCCTCGAGCGCCCGGGCAAAGGTGTCCAGGGCCGCTGCAGCGGCTGCAGGGTCGGGCAACTCCACCCAGGCAGTCGATCCTGATCCCAGCGCAGCACAGGCCTCACACGCACGCTGCGAAGGCTGGGCTCTGGCGCGGTGCATTCGTTTGGCCAGTGTCAGAAAAATCTATATTATCCGCCGACAGCGCTCGGCGTGTCGGATACTTAAAAGAGGATATAGAGGATAACCCCCCCCCCCCCCGACGTCTGATACGTAGGGTTTAGGGGGATGGGGGGTCAGCCACGTATCGCGCGGTAATCTGATGACGCTCCACTAAAAAATAGTCTTCGGGGAGCCGGTGTCGCAAGACAGGGGTCCCAGGCTTGAATTTTCCTGGCCTTGCCGGCTCTTTGCTGGTTCGGGGGTTTTCTTCCTCCTTTTGCTGAAACTCTGGAAAAACTCTGTGTTTTGTCACATCCTTTTTGCGAAAACGTGGGCAAAACCTTTTTGCTTTGTTTTCCGGAAAAATACCAGGGAGCGAAGGAAAAATGCAAGGAAATACAGGGAAATGAAGGGAGGAAATAAAGGAAAATGCAAGGACATGCAGGGGACAGAAAATCGACATGATAGGAAAGCAAGGGGAAATGAAAAGGCAACAAAGGGCAACTGAAAGGGATATGAATGGGAAAGAAATGATAGCAAGGAGAGTGAGGGGGGACTGAAAGGCAAACAAAGCACAAGGAAACCAAAGAACACAAAGGGAGATGTAGGGAAATGACTGGCAACGAAAGAAAAGGACATACATGGAAAATGAACCGGACATACCGAGAAAATGACAGGGACATAAAAGGGGAATTGAAAGGAATGGACGGGGACATAATGAGGACATCCTAGGAAATGACGAGACATGAAAAGGACATGAAGGGGAAATCAAGGGGAAAGCCAGTAGTACGAAGACGATTCAGGGGTCATGAAGGGGCAGTCGAGGCAACTCAGGGGGGGGACATGACGCTGCAATGCAAACAGAGAGAGAGAGAGAGAGAGAAAAAAAAAAGAGAGAGAGAGAGAGAGAAAAAGAAACAGAGACAGAGACAGAGAAAGAGGGAGAGACAGAGAAAGAGTCAGAGAAAGAGACAGAGATCGAGAAAGACAGAGCAAGAGACAGAGAAAAACGGAGAAAGAGCCAGAGAGAGAGAGAGAGAGAGACAAAGAGAGAGAGAGAGAGAGACAGAGAGAGACAGAGAGAGAAAGAGCGAGAGAGAGAGCGACAGAAAGGAAAGAGAGAGAGGAAAGAGAGAGGCAAGAGAGAGGAAAGATAGAGAGGAAAGAGAGAGGCAAGAGAGAGGAAAGATAGAGGAAAGAGAGAGAGGCAGCGACCGGGCGGGGAAGCAGAGACACGAGGTGGGGAGAATGAGGCATAGCGAGGAGGTAGAGAAAGATCGAGATATATAGAGAGAGAGAAAGAGAGAGAGAGAGAGAGAGAGAAAGAAGAGAGAGAGAGAGAGAGAGAGAGAGAGAGAGAGAGACAGAGAGAGACAGAGAGAGAAAGAGCGAGAGAGAGAGCGACAGAAAGGAAAGAGAGAGAGGAAAGAGAGAGGCAAGAGAGAGGAAAGATAGAGAGGAAAGAGAGAGGCAAGAGAGAGGAAAGATAGAGGAAAGAGAGAGAGGCAGCGACCGGGCGGGGAAGCAGAGACACGAGGTGGGGAGAATGAGGCATAGCGAGGAGGTAGAGAAAGATCGAGATATATAGAGAGAGAGAAAGAGAGAGAGAGAGAGAGAGAGAAAGAAGAGAGAGAGAGAGAGAGAGAGAGAGAGAGAGAGAGACAGAGAGAGACAGAGAGAGAAAGAGCGAGAGAGAGAGCGACAGAAAGGAAAGAGAGAGAGGAAAGAGAGAGGCAAGAGAGAGGAAAGATAGAGAGGAAAGAGAGAGGCAAGAGAGAGGAAAGATAGAGGAAAGAGAGAGAGGCAGCGACCGGGCGGGGAAGCAGAGACACGAGGTGGGGAGAATGAGGCATAGCGAGGAGGTAGAGAAAGATCGAGATATATAGAGAGAGAGAAAGAGAGAGAGAGAGAGAGAGAGAAAGAAGAGAGAGAGAGAGAGAGAGAGAGAGAGAGAGAGAGACAGAGAGAGACAGAGAGAGAAAGAGCGAGAGAGAGAGCGACAGAAAGGAAAGAGAGAGAGGAAAGAGAGAGGCGACGAAAGGAAAGAGAGAGAGGAAAGAGAGAGGCAAGAGGAGGAAAGATAGAGGAAAGAGAGAGAGGCAGCGACCGGGCGGGGAAGCAGAGACACAAGGCGGGGAGAATGAGGCATAGCGAGGAGGTAGAGAAAGATCGAGATATATAGAGAGAGAGAGAGAGAGAAAGAGAGAGAGAGAGAGAGACAGAGAGAGAGAAGCATAAAGAGAAGCATAAAGAGGAAGGAGAGAGTGAGACAGAAAGAGAAGAAGAACCAGAGAGAGAGAGAGAGAGAAAAAGAGAGAGAGAGAGAGAGAGAAAGAGAGAGAGAGAGAGAGAACGAGAGCGAGAGCGAGAGAGCGAGTGAAAGAGGATTGGGAGGATGGGGAGGATGGGGAGGATGGGGAGGAGAGAGACAGAGAGGGAGAGAGGACGAGGGAACACACGGAAGGAGGAGAAAAGAGAGAGAGGAAGAAGGAGAAAAGGGAGAGGACAATGTCGGCGGACTGAGCCGGAGGCTCTAAAGTAAGAGCCTTCCGTTCGTTTCACCTCAACTCTCGACTGGTGAGGGGACCGAGTGGCTCGAGTGGTCCAAGTGGTCCAAGTGTCCCGAGTCCAAACTCGCCTTGCTGCAGTCCGCCGCCATGTCTGCGCTGTCGCGGGATGCTACGTCTGCCATCTGCGCTGCGCTTAAGAACATCTCCTGGTTCTGCAGCTTTTCCGGCACTTGCGACCTCGCCTGCTCTTGCCTCATCACGAATGGGAAAGTCTCACTTGTACCCCTTCACCTGCTGCCTTCCTTCTTGTGGGTTTACTGGAAGCTGAGCAAAGGAGCGAGCCTTTACGTGGTAAACATGCATGTTGAGTTGCACCGTAAAGCATGAAGCGCTGTCTTTCAAACACACGTGCTGCCGTGCTTCAAGGAAAAGCTCACCTCAGCAAAGCTGTCCTGAAATAGTTTCAGTGCAGCTTCAGCCTGCAAGGCCGTTCAGTAGCCATGGGCATGCATGCTGTATGAGAGGCAAGGGGAGCATGTTCCCTGAAAGGCAAGGGGAGTCTGCTCACTAGATCATTGTATGGAACTCAAACAAGAAAGCTAGAATGCTTCCTTTGACCAGCAACAGTGGACAATACCTTCGACATGCAGACATCCGCATACCCAAGTCAAGAGCTCAAGAAGTCAAGCAATTTCAAGCAATGTCAGTGCCTCCTTCAAGGTACTCGCCGCTGCCCGGACGCCCATTGCAGCGCCACTGCCACCAGCCCAGGCACGGTACCATGCCACGTGCACCGCGTCCGCGTCATTAGTCTCAGGCACAGAGCGCAGCTGCTTGGCGAGGCGCGAGGCCTTGGATGCCACCTGGCTATATTTCAAGTCATTTCAGGTGTTCCGCAAATTCCATTTAGAGAATCGTCCCCCTGCAAGGTAAGCTTTCCGTCTTTCAAGCGCGCTCCAATGCGGTTGGTGCCCGCCTGAAGGCTAAAGTCTAGGCACGACATGGACCTGCGGAAGATCTCCAAGGACTTGCTATCTACTTTGAGCCTGGGAAAGCGACTCACAAGTACGGCAGGGAACTCAAAATGCAAAGCAACACAGCACAACGGCGGCATCCTTGCTGCAACGCATCTCATGCCAAATTAAGTTCCAAGCCTCTCGCGAGTGACCTGAGTGGTTGCACACCAAGCGTTTGTGTGCAATATGCTTTTCTGCAAATTGAAGCTGGCAATGCCAGGGCTTGTGTTAAAATTGCTAGCTCACACTCCACATCTATTCCCATCTCCTTCATCACTATTTGCCTCCTCCAGGTATTCCTCACTATCCTTCGTTTGATGCCGATGAGTTGCTCCACATTCAGTCTGATCGCCGTGTATCCGAGTACACAAATTTAAGTAGCGCTCTTCTGGTAGCCAAGAAACCAATCAGTCACATTGCTTGCAAATGTCTCCCGAGCTCGCCGCATAGGGGACTGCCTGCATCAACAGATTTGAGGCTCAACTTCAATGAAACAGAAGCGCAACAGCAACACGCGACCCCAAATAAGAGCATGATTCAACATGGGCAGGAGTAAGAAATAATTATTGATGCCTTGCACAATTCGTCGATGGCCATGAACTCAATCCTACAGTGATAGACCCACACCTTGGCTGTAAGTGTGGGATGCAAGATCGAGTGGACAAAGACTGGGGCACTGACAGCTCGATTGGCAACCAGTCGGGTGCTCTCGTTCACTGCCTTCCCATTGTAAGAAAGTGCAAAGAAACAAATCGCTTGGGTGCACATCACGCCGCTCGTTTCTCCCAGGCCAAGTTGTTACGTTACTTGGATAAGGCTGGCACCATGCGTGCCACACAGTCCATCACAGTCACCTGTTGCAAGAAGCTGCAAGCAGTCACCAAAAATAGATATGCGCACGATGCGCACCTTTCGGAAACGCCGCTTCAAGCTCTGAGCAGCAGCCTTGGGGCACAGCTACGAAATGTCACGAGTGCCAAGACATTCAGCACACTTGTCGGGCCCCGAACAAGGCGTTGCTGATGCGCCGACTGGCCATCAGAGCTGGTGCCTTCGCTCGAGCAAAGTGCAATCAGGCGCCGCTTCGGCTTGTGACTTGAGGCCCTCGCTCAGCACTGGCACAGCCATAAGCGGCGTAGAGCAACTCCTGCCACAAACCCCCCCTTGCTGATCTGACGGAATTACAAGTTACAAATTGTACCAAGTTCTGGGATGCCGATGGAACACATTTGCTGCTTTGAAGCTTGTCCTAGATGCAGTCTGTATGATCTCGCGCAGGCGGGGAATGCCCAAGGTTACGTTTGCTCCTCCGACAAACCCTTTTGCACGCGTGCTGGACTTGTCAGTGCAGAGCTGTCATGACACGCAGAACTTGGATCTCAAAGCAGCACCTCCGTGACCGGCCAAGTGAAACGTATTCAGTGTCATCTGCGTACTGGGCTCACCTCTGTCCAACGTGCTGCTCAGCTGACGTCATGTCTGTTAACAAGGAAGGCATCGATTCTGCAAGTCCACTGCAAGTCCACTACAAGTCCACTGCGAGTGCTATCATTTCGCTGCAAACGTTCAAGGCCAGCACCCATGCTCTGAGCAGCAATGACGCCCACAGCTTCTCCAGGCTCAGCAAGCGTCCTCCTCGCAGCGCGAAGCCACGAGTCACAGCGCTCCCCGAAAGTAGGCCGTCTGATGTGATTTCCAACATCCCAGGGTACTAAATAAATTGAGTGACTATGCCATGCGAGTGGTTTCAGCCAACGAGGATTATTCAAAAACGTTGCGTGAGGCAGCTGCTGGAACTTCAGCCGCATGGCTGTTGCAAAGTGCTTGGCCTCAGCGTGGGAAACAGCTATCAAACCTTCACCAACTCTGACGCTCAACTCTGGACTTCAAGCTGCGAATTTTCTCATAATCGCCTGTACATGCCTGTATCAGCTAAAGCGGTTGTCAAGGCTCTGTTGGCCTAGACTCACGATTGAAATCGGTACTGCTCACCTGCATTCTGTAAAGGCACCTTTGGACCTTGCTTCTGTATGTACACATTCATCATATGGAACACTTCAGGAGCCTGCCCATTGTTGAAATCCCAGGAGGGCGAATCACACTTGCCTGTCACCTCTCAAAAATGCGCGGGTCGTATGCGCCCAACTGCTCATCCACTTCTGGCTTGAACTCCATGTTGCTGAACACATCGTCAAGTGTCATGCCAGCAGCAAGCTCTGTCACAACGAGCTTTTGACTGCGCAGTTCCATGACGCATCTCTCTGTTACAAACATCACCCTTCGAGAGCCTTGTGATGCAGATGGAAAGGTTATCTCGCCGATAGCTTTCTTGAACTTTTGGATGGAACCCTCTTGTACGATGATGAGCTTCCCATCTTCCACCTTTGTGATAAGGTTGCCGCAGGTCAGCGTGGTGCAAAACACCAGCATCTTGGCGTTTGATGCAATGTCTGCAAATCCGCCCACACCTGGAACTCGACCAGCAAAGTTGGAGACGTTCACGTTTCCAGTTGGATCCACCTGCCCAGGACTTGATGATTTGTTGTGTCTTTGAAGATCTTCAGTAGCCCGGCCAGTAGACACACCAACAACAAACTGGCAGCCTTTGGGAACCTGTTTATATCGCAAGTAATCTGGAACTGACATAATTGCTACACAGGACTCCCAAAGTGACAGACACCCAAACTTGCCAGTTGAATGGCACGCAAACACGCCCTTGGCTAAAGCTGCAAACACTCGCTCGGTGGGCAAGTGGACAGAATGCTTGCTGAACACGGGAACAGGCCGAAGCATCTGCAAATTTGTGCCATATGTGCAATATGTGCAATGCCCGTGCAATATGTTGCCCACTATGTGCAATGCCTCGCCTCACCTCAGTGACAATTCTATACTTCTCGCCTCGCCCACACCCAGGAACGCCACATCTATGCCGCCGCCCACATAGAAGTCCATCATCGTGCTAGTGGGCACCAAGGCCTCACAAGCAAGGCATATGTAAGGCATATGATGTGAGAATTCTGTGAGCATGAATGCAGCATGGAGCATTGGGATTGGCGATAGAACCATTTCACACCCTGAGTTGAAATCGAATGACTTGAATGAGTCGAACACCTGAGATGAGTTAAATGTTAAAAGGAACTCGTCAAAGATCGGTCCTTCGGTCCTTGCCTCGGGGCCGCTGCTCGTGCCGAAGCGGAAGCCACCCTGGGCAGCACCACCCCAAACGCCACTCTCCACCGTGGCCATGTAGCCCACCAGCGAAGGGTTCTGGTGGCTGTGCGTCGCCATCATGGCAGCCACGAACCTTAGGGACCGCAAACAAATAGGCAAAAAGGCCAAGAAAAGCAACTCGTCGGAACTGATACAAAGTGTAGCTCGTCTGTACGCGTCGACCGGTGAGCCGCCAAGCCGGGCAAAAGCAGCCATTGCATTGGGGGGCCCACCAAGCACCGGGGAAAAAGAGTGCGTACAACAAATCGCAGGAAAGGTCAGGAGTCACGAAAAACACTTGTTACTTCTGTATTTGTGCGTGTCATCCTTGCGCAGGGGCCAAGTGCAGCTCACAGTGTAGCCGACAAAGATAAGCGGATGCTGTCGAGAGAAGCTATTGTTGCACATTCCTGTTCTTCTGGGACTTTGAGAGCAACTTGTAGCTGTTTGGAAGGCCTGAAGCCATTGGTCCTGAAAGAACTTGCTTCAACGCAAACTAATTCTACATCTCTACAAAAGTACTTGCTTGGCTCTCTAAGAAAGGCTGGTTCCAGCAACAGTGTTGTAAAAGGCAAGCAGTCGCTTCGGTCCGCGATTGTCTGCTCTTCCGCTCTTCAGGATAAGATGTTGCTTGACGTGATTTCAACACTGCTTTGTACCAGGTTCGAGTGGCATGGATGCACCGCAAACGGGCAGTCGCGCGTCTCGATTGTTTGAGCGGAAGAAGGGCAACAAAGCTTGTGGAGTCAAGGATGAGTTGACCTTGCAACTGTAACTTGGTATTTTTGTGCGTTGCGCTCCATTGCAATGACGGTTAACTTGACACCAAACTAATTGGACCGTATGAAGCGACATTCAATTGTTTGCTGGCGCACCCAAGCGTCAACATTCTTTCAGGATGAGGCAAGCCCAAACAAAGCAAGCACGAGACAGCTTGCTTTAAGGCAGGATGCTCTGGAGATCCAACCCCGAAGTTCAGAACAGCGTTTGGGCTGGTCACCTCGAACATCGCCCGGTGTGCCATGACCCGCTTCTGGCAGGCATTCCTGGGACCCTCCCAGGGCAGTTCCTCCTTTTGAGTCTTAAGTGGCTTGCACTCTCCTGACAATGTTGGATCATAAACTTGGTCTGCTGGCGCATACGTGACAGGTGCATGCGCCGGGGCAGCCAAAACAATCATATCTACCAGCATGCCTGGAATGTGCACCCTGCGATGATCCAAGCTGCCGTGAGGCACAACTCTCTGAACCTGCACCACTACAAGCCCTCCGTTGTTCTTGGCAGCCATTGCTTGATTCAACGAGTCCAGCAATAGGGGCTCACGCTCAAAGGAGATATTGCCAGCCTCATCTGCAATGGAGCCGCGAAGGAGGGCAACTGTAATCTTGGGCGCAGGATAGAACATGTACTCCTCGTCATCTATCTTCATGATCTTCACAAGGTCTTTGGTGGTCTCCTTGTTGCGCTTCCCGCCACCCTTCCTAGGATCCGCAAATGTGTTCAGGCCAACTTTGGACAGGTGGCCCGGAGCACCGTTCGCCGCAGAGCGGATCATGTGTGAAACTTGGCCCATGGGAAGGTTGTAGCCCTGTATCCTTCCACTGAGGATCGCATTAGTAAAAGCCGGGCACACGTCAGTCCAACCAAACACGGCCTTGGAGACCAATGGCGTCAGCTGATCTGTTCCCCTGCCCTCACGATCCCCCACTATAATAGAGAAAACCATTTCCAGATTGCGTGGATGCTGCGTCTTGTCATACCTCTTGCGCAACGCCTCTGCAAGCGCATCACATGGCATAGTTGCCACAAAGCCGGAAAGTGTCAGGCAGTCACCATCTATGATGGTGCTTACAGCCTGCTCAGCTGAAACAGTTTTGGATTTCGCTGTCAAGGACTTCCGAAGCTGCAAGCATTGCCGCTTCAGTGCGTCCAAGTCTTCCTCCTCCCTCTCACTGACCACGAGTTGTCGGCCGTTGAGGGCGAGATTTATCACGACTCGACCACGCACCGTACCCGCAAGGATCCGTCTTGCTACCTCCTGCAGGTCATCCAAGGCCACCTCTGTTCGCATTTCCTGCCAAATGGCAGTGGGCACCTTGGCCAACTCTGCCCAAACAGCCTTGCGCTGTGCTGTCGGCGCAAAAACGGAATCCACGCCATGAAGCTTGACACCTCGAATGATGAATGGATAGACGGTGGTCTTGATGGAAGGGCCCCCAGCCACGCCACAGGTCGCCACTGTGCAGCCGTAGGATGTTTGTGAGCAAACCGTGGGAATGGTCGGACCTCCGACAACATCAATGGCTCCGCCCCATTTCTGCTCGTCCAGCGGCTTCGGATCTGTGGGAAGCCCAAGCACAATTTCTGACGCTCCAAGCTTCCTCAAGCGCTGTTCTGTGTCCTTCCAGGGAGTGCAGGCCGCAACAGTATAGCCCTTTTGGGAGAGCAGGTAGACTGCAACACTGCCCACACCACCATCTGCTCCTGTCACCAGGATGGGTTTCCTCTTGTCGCAGCCTGATGTCTCCATTGCAGAAACGCACAAAGCTGCTGTGAAGCCAGCTGTGCCTATGGTCATCGCATCGACTTCTGACAAACCCTGCGGCAAAGGCACCAGCCATTCAGCCTTGACACTTGCATACTCTGCATGGCCACCATGAAACTTCTGGCCCATCTCCCACCCTGTCATAATGACACGATCGCCTTTGTTGAAGCCATGTTTGGCCTCGTCAACCGTCCCCACAAAGTCAATTCCAGTGATTAGTGGTAGCGTTTCAACCACGCCGTAGATGCCACATATCGCCATGCCATCCTTGTAGTTAAGGCCTGAGTAGTCGACTTTGACTCTCACGTAGTCATCGCCTGACTGAAGCTCCTCAAAGGGAATCTGTCGGATTTCCATCTGCGTGCTGGCACCATCCTTTTGAATCCAGCACCCACGGAAGGTGCTTGCGGTTCCATCGGGCATGGTGTCACCAGTGGCCCAAATTAAGGGCACGCAACAAAGTTCCTGAATGGGCTTCTTGCAATGGAAACCTCTCTTGCGACGGTTCGCAAGTCTTGAGCAACTGCCGGGCACGGGTGGGATTGAATGTTTGAACCTCACCGGTTGCACCATGCTGCAGGCGTCTCCAATTTCCGACGCTGAAGCCGCCCTTTCCTTGCTGGGACCGGCCTGCTTGGAGGTCATAGCACCGTTCTCTAAGCGCTTCTTCATGAAGGCTTGCAAGGCCTGCTGTACTGCTCAGTGCATCGTGATCCAACCATTCAAATACGCAACCGCATATCGCCTCCTCATGAAGCTCCGAGGTGGACCCGAAATAGTGCGCAGGTCCAAACCTAAGGCAGTAGCCAATCCCATCATATATCCAGCACAATGGCTGAGGAGTTGGCAAGGCAGTCACTGGATCGAACATGGAATCCTTGGCTTTTCCCAGTTCCAATGTTGGGTGAAACAGCAAGGAAGGAGATATACATCTGCAACTCGGCTACTGACACAGATCGGAAGCTGTCGCTTCTTGGCCACGCGCAGCTTCTTTCTAAGCTGCTGCCTGTCCAATTTCAGCAGCCATGAGAATTGTTTCGATTGTCTAAGAGTGTGGCAGTGAAAGAATGGCGGCACCATTGAGAGAATTGCTCATCTCGAGCAGCTCTTCTATAGCCTTGCCATATGTCATGCTTATGGCATGACACCAGCGCCATTCTGTGATGGACCTGTTGTTGTCGAGGCAAGCTGGCATGGCAGCGCTTGTGTCTGCAGCCGCGCCTCAATTGCGACTGGGAGATCACCATCCTGCAGTGGAACTGGCACACCATGAAGCACAAGCCAAGCTTTACCGCTCTGAGCACTCAGAGCTGCAGCTGCTAAGTCGAAAGCCTTTGCTGCCTGCTTGGCCTTCAGGTACAGTGGTGCACACCTCAACACGCAAACCAAGTTCAAGCAAAACCTGTACTCTGTTTAAAATCACACTGCCCCTTCGGAAGCTTGTTGGAGTTACTGCCAAGCTGCTGAGTATCCAGTACAATGCCATCACCTCGCCAGTCAAAGCACGTTTGCCTTCTTCAGAAGCAGTGTCAAGGGCGAGACGGGCTGCGCTAGTCTTCATCTTGCTCCGTGCCTTAAAGCCCAAAATTAATGGAGAATTGTCCACCTCGAATACGCACGTCTCTTCCGATCTGAGCCAAGAACCGGCTTGTCAAGGAAGTGAAAGTTGGACCTTGCTGACGTGAAACTGAACTTTACCCAAACGTGCTCTGTAGGCTCCCAGCAAAAGCTCGTCAAACTTGTAGAGATATGTTGCCCGAGTCACGTCTGCACCGTCCTCGACATCGACACGAGCTCAAAACGACTCGCCGGCCAAGTATGCCCGGCATGATTTGTTTGGTTGCCTAGCTTGAACGCTCCTCGCCGTAAAGGAACTGAAGAATGGATCCATCTCCGTCCCGGACGGTGTGGTCATACTCCACCTGCCATGCAAACGGCTTTACACTCAATCAAGTTGCTGCGTGAGTGCGTGCCTTGAGTGTTTCCAGGTGCTTCACCAAACAGCGTTGCAGGTAACCTCCCATGAGCAGACACGCCAGTGCTAGATCAAGTTCAAATGCTTCATGCCGTCACGTATTATAAAAATGCTATCATCTTTGGTAGGGAAGCCAAATTGGCAATTCAAATTCAAGATCTACGATCAGTGTAACTTCTGTGTTGAGCTGCTGGGAAAGTGATATGAAGTTCAAACTGAGAGCATTTGGGCAAAGGTTCCTCTGATTCTGCCTGGAGGCATTTAACACGATTCAAGACTCTGCTCGAGAATAACTGAATGTATGATGCTGCTTGGTAATGCCTGGCCAACTGCAAACAAGCAATGCCCACCTGATCGTGACGTTTTCACGGCTGTGTCCACAAGACCTTCACGTCCAGCCATGCAGTGGAAGAAAAACTCCTGCCAGGCAGCACACGAGCAACGTGAAGGCAATGATCGCACATAGGCGAAGAGATGCTTTCCCCACATGTTGCTTGGCAAAGGCTGTGTCAGCATTCGAGGGATAAACAAGCGTATTGACTTCAGAGCTGCTCAATAGACCCGGAGAAAGACCTTGGGCCTTGGCCTGTAGATTTAAATTTTCGAGGCTGGAGAGCGCAAGCGTTGTGGTGTGGGCTTCAGAGGAAATGGGCGACTGACGAGGCAAGGCGAAACTTGTAATTTCGGCTGGTGCCAGGCTGAGAGACGGAGCAGCAGTCCAGAACTGCTGTATCAAATGGCTTCTTCACCAAGTTTGTGGGCGTGAGGTGGAAGGAGCAAACGCTTGGTCCGCAAGTCACAGATCAAGGGCTGCCGCGAGCTCAATTCACGCTTTATCCGGATTTGGATTGCAAAAGCTGCTGCTCAAAACAATGCTGCAAAAAATCGCGACCGCTGCCATACTCACGAGATACTGCGGGAACTGAACAGGATTGCAGACATCCAAAGGACGGCAGCAACTGCCATATTCTCAAAGACTGCAAGGAACTGGAATAATCGTCGTCCTCTGAGACACTGCAAGGAGCTGGAATACATGCCGACCATTGAATATGCATACCTCTGTAAACAAGGGCAAACACATGATGGGTTCCTTGCGCATTTCAGGGCTCTTTTGTGGCTCCAGCTTGCTTTCGTCAAGATTGTGGTGAACCTATTTCCATGCTGACCAACACAGTGCCAGAAAGAGCTTTCTCGCAGAAGTTTGGAAGTGGCGCCAGTAAGTGCCATGTTGCAAAGTTGCTTTTGCAAAGCTTGCACATATCCAAGTGCGGCTTCCAGGCCCTTTCATCCGACATCAATTCTACGCAGCAAAAGCATCTACATTCCTGTGCAGCATGGTCTTCAACGCCCTTGGCAGGTATGGGACTCCATGGTGACAGCTTCAGCAGCGTCATCACGACATACCGCATGACAATCCGAGGAGTGCCCATAGTGCCCCAATTTTTCTTTGATGGCTGGATATGCGTCGCCGCACTTTCCGTAGGATACGAAATTTGCTTCCGCTATCTCAGCATTTCCAGTATCATAATCTGGGAATGTCATATCCATTGCCAGAGAGATCGGCTTCAAGCAATAATTCCAGTGGAGAGTGGCCATTTGACCCTCCCTGCTCCACTAGCTATTCATGCTCTTCCAAGAGGATTTACAATATATAATGTACATATATATATATATATACCCTTACTTATTTACATTTTATCATAATACATTTGTGTGTGCGTGTGCACCTTGCGGGTTGCTTCAAACACGGTCGCTTCAATTCCGGCTGGAAGGCTGCCCAAAACTTGGAATTCGGATAATTTGGTCGGATCATTGTTGGAAGTCCAGTGGAATGGGCTGGAACGACTGGAACCTGCTTGAACTGGTTATTGGACCAAGCCTGCGCAAACACTCAAATTGCAAACCATGCACTGATGGTTGGGCCTGCGGTCGAATGCCCGTCAAGAAGCGGTCAGCAATGTAGCCTTACAGACCGACCGACCAGCAACGGACAATGCGCGGTCTGAGTTCATTGCCTCGTGTCCGATTGGACAGGTCGTTGACCGCAAAACATGGCAGTGACCTGCACGGAATGTTGTGAGAGTGGCTGTGGGTGTCTGTGCGCATGCGTTGATGTTTGCAGTTGTCTTCGTTTGTATATTATATGCGACAGAAACAAGTGGCTGACTCCGAGGACTCCTGGTTGAAGTTTCCCCAAAAAACGAACCTTATTGCAAACATGTGAGAAAGCTTACAACAGCATAGACCCCAAATAGCGTGACCGGAATGGCTCTGTGTGAGGGCATTCGTTTCGGGGTCATAACCAGCACCCTGCAGCGCCAAACCAGACCGCAGCGCCGAGCAAGCACCACCAGTCACCACCAGCACCCTTTCCAGCACCCTGACCAGCGCCTGCAGCCCGACCCCACCTCTCTAGAAGTAAGAACCCCTACAGCTGCAGCTTTGTGGAAGAAGAACAGCCAGGCAACAGCTGCAAACGCTGACCAAGCAACGTTTTGCGGCAAGGGATCCGATGCGACAAGGGTGTAAGCAAAGCCCCATAGCATCAGCTCAAAGTGATCCTCGCCAGTTACAGTCACTCGATTGCCTATCAACCCGGGCCTCTGCGTGCCCATGAGGGGTGGCAGTCTTCCTTCGAGCTCCTGTGTGCTACGGCCAAGGAAAAAGTAACGCGTGGAATTCATGTGTCGACTTTGAAGGCTCAAAGCCGGGCTAAGTAGTGTCTGCGTGCGCCTCACCTGAGTTGCGGTTTCGGTGGTTGAGGGCTTATACACTACTCGTGCACCTTCGCGAGTAGATCTTTGTGTCAGTGCCAGGCAAGTACTCCGACGCTAACTAATTACACTGGGCAGCTCCAGCTCGGCAATGACTCCTCCTCTAAAAAAGATGTGGAAGGAGGAGTAGTCTGAGTACAAGTCATTTTGCAGCAAGTTCACACTGTGAGGATCCGCAAGGATCTGCTAGATTCGAAGGCAATTGTATGCGCACGGCCTGCCAAGCAAGGCACCAGGCTTATCCCTGGGCTGTTGCCATGCTTGACTTGACATACTTCAACAGGTGGTGTTGTGCTTCCAGAAATGGGCGAGGTATTGAAAATGCCCTCAATGCAAACGCGAAAAGCCTACACACAGACTGTAGAAAGCCTCGGCGAGGGACGCAACAAACACAACAAAAGCTCCCCCCAAGCGGTGTTGCCTCTGAAAGTGGCACGTAGCTCTCGTTTCGACAAAGTCTATTCAAATCAAGCGGTCTGGACTTGCTCTCCCAGCCAGGAGCGATTTCACAGCTCCTGCTGGCCCAGGCAGCAGCTGACCTGTGACCTTGACAGGCGAACCGTGGCCGGACGTACTCGGCCGTGGAATCGCTGGGCTCGCAATATTGTCATTTAGGCCAGGGCTGGTTCACTTTGGACCCTTTCGCACCCGTCTGCACCATCGACTTGGAGCAACATGCACAAAATCAGGCACATGTGGACTTGCATCGTGCAATGCATGCGAGCTGAAAAGCTGAACATTGCATACCCCTCACACACACACACACAAGGCATTGCGGTCGCAGCCTGCTTGCCCTTCTGAGGTACACACGGCAAAGCAGTTACGCGGTACAGGCAGCCGCTGACCAACAGGAATACACCTAGGAGTATGTTATTAGCAAGCTGCTCATCTGTATCAGCATTGAACAAACTGTCACTCAGTGTTCGGCTGGTTAATCATACCGGACCAGAACTCTTTCATCTTGCCTGACTCATATCGCGTCAGTAGATTCCAACAGCAACACAGTTCGCTGAACTTGGTTGACGAGCCCGGTGTTGATAACTTGGGGTCCTGGCCAATTACCAGCCCCTCAAGATGCTCCACTTTTTGCTTCTGCAGAAACCTGACATCTCAACGATTGCTATGGATCTGCGTCGGAAGCTTTGCGCCATACGGAGGGCTGAGGCCACAACAAGTCCTTGGACGCCACCGACAACTGCTCGAGTGTTGGCCTTTCGGGCCTTAGGAGCATAGCCAGTTTGTATCTTTGCTGCCGCATCATGCGAACCCAGGGTTCAAGCAACAGCGAGCCAGCGCCATGCTTGTGAATCCTGGCAAGAGCTGCCAGACGTGCCTCTCCTGCTTACTCTGCTACGCTTTCGTGCAGCTTCCAGTGGTGGTTGTTTTTGCTGAGATTGCATGCTGAGGCAACAGTAGAGGAAAAAGGATGATTGTGGTCAAACTCCGAGCCATAGCAAGGGGAGGCATGGTTGAATAATCACTGCTAGCCACTATTGGGCTCCGTGGCTCCCCTTGTCCGCCGATCCCTTTTCTCTGCAAGGGCGAGGCGCATGGGAAGGCTGGCCAGTACATGATGCAAGGCTGCAACCCTGTGCTGACAATCAGAGACACCAATAGCCATCCACACAGTGGTCAATGCATCTTCAGTTTTGTGTGCCGCGGGGTTTATTTTCAGTATATAATTATTTTGGCAAACTGCGTAGCTTGGTTCAGGACGAACCTGTTGGTTGACCTGTGTGTGTGTCTGTGTGTGTCTGTGTGTGTCTGTGTGTGTCTGTGTGTGTCTGTGTGTGTGTGTGTGTCTGTGTGTCTGTGTGTGTCTGTGTGTGTGTGTGTCTGTGTGTGCCTGTGTGTGTCTGTGTCTGTGTGTGTGCGTGTCTGTGTGTGTGTGTGTGTGTGTCTGTGTGTGTCTCTGCTCTGTGTGTGTCTCTGTGTGTGTGTCTCTGTGTGTGTGTGTCTGTGTGTGTCTCTGTGTGTGTCTCTGTGTGTGTGTCTCTGTGTGTGTGTCTCTGTGTGTGTGTGTCTCTCTGTGTGTCTCTCTGTTTGTCTCTCTGTGTGTCTCTGTGTGTCTCCGTGTGTCTCCGTGTGTCTCAGTGTGTCTCAGTGTGTCTCAGTGTGTCTCAGTGTGTCTCAGTGTGTCTCAGTGTGTCTCAGTGTGTCTCAATGTGTGTCAGTGTGTGTCAGTGTGTGTTAGTGTGTGTCAGTGTGTGTCAGTGTGTCACAGTGTGTCACAGTGTGTCACAGTGTGTCACAGTGTGCCACAGTGTGTCACAGTGTGTCACAGTGTGTCACAGTGTGTCAGTGTGTCATTGTGTCTGTGTGTCTGTGTCTCTGTGTGTCTGTGTCTGTGTGTCTGTGTGTCTGTGTGTCTGTGTGTCTGTGTCTCTGCGTGTCTGTGTGTCTGTGTGTCTGTGTGTCTGTGTGTCTGTGTGTCTGTGTGTCTGTGTCTCTGTGTCTCTATGTGTCTGTGTGTCTGTGTGTCTGTGTCTCTGTGTCTCTGTGTCTCTGTGTCTCTGTCTCTGTGTCTCTGTGTCTCTGTGTCTCTGTGTCTGTGTCTTGTCTGTGTCTGTGTCTGCGTGCGTGTGCGCGTCGCGTGCGCATGCGCGTGGGCTTGGGCGTGCATGGGTGTTGGCTGTGGGCGGCGTGCGACGTGCGACGTGTGCGTGTGCACGCGTGTGCACGCACGTGTTCGCGCGTTCGCGAGTTGGCGTGTTTGCTTGTTGCACTTTTTGCGTGTTTGCGTGTTTGCGTGCCCGGGTGCGTGGGTGCGTGGGCGCGTGTTTGCGCGCGTGCGCGTGCGAAAGCGTACGCGTGCGCGCGTGTGCGTGTTTGCGCGTGTGTGTGTGGGTGGGTGGGGGTGGGGGTGGGGGTGGGGGTGGGGGTGGGGGTGGGGGTGGGGGTGGGGGTGGGGGTGTTGGTGTAAGAGGGAAGAGTATGTATAATGTGCCGGGGAGAGGTCTGGGCATCAACATCACACTGAGGGCTGGCTTTCAGGCAGATCTTGTAGGAATTGATTTCATAAAATTGCAAATCTTAGTCTGAGAAATTGGCTTCCAGTGGAATTTGGTAGGAATTAAATTGCAAATTTTACAAACTTTACAAATTATACAAATTCATTTGTAAAATTTTAAAATATCAAAAAAGTCTGACCCAAAATTACAAATTTTACAAATTTTACAAATTCGAGTCTGAGAAATTAGCTTCCAGGGGAATTTGGTAGGAGTTAAATTGCAAATTTTACAAATTTTACAAATTAGTTTGTAAAATTTGAACAATATAAAAAAAAATCTGGCCCAAAAGTACAAATTTTACAAATTTTACAAACTAATTTGAAAAATTTGCAAAATATCAAAACATCTGGCCCAAAATTACAAATTTCACAAAACTTACAAATTCGAGTCTGAGAAATTAGCTTCCAGGGGAAGCTGGTAGGAATTAAACTACAAATTTTACAAATTTTACAAACTTTACAAATTTTACAAATTAGTTTGTAAAATTTGTAAAATATCAACAACATCTGGCTCAAAATTACAAATTTTACAAATTCGAGTCTGAGAAATTAGCTTCCAGGGGAATTTGGTAGGAATTAAATTACAAATTTTACAAATTTTACAAATTGATTGTAAAATTTGTAAAATTTGTAATTTTGGGCCAGAGTTTTTGATTTTTTACAAATTTTACAAATTAATTTGTAAAATTTGTAAAATGTGTAAAATGTGTAAAATGTGTAAAATTTGTAATTTAATTCCTACCAGCTTCCCCTGGAAGCTAATTTCTCAGACTCGAATTTGTAAATTTTGTAAAATTTGTAATTTTGGGCCAGGTGTTTTTGATATTTTACAAATTATTCAAATTAATTTGTAAAATTTGTAAAATTTGTAATTTTGGGCCAGACTTTTTTGATATTTTTAAATTTTACAAATGAATTTGTAAAATTTGTAAAATTTGCAATTTCATTCCTACCAAATTCCCCTGGAAGCTAATTTCTCAGACTAGAATTTGAAAAAATTGTAATTTTGGGCCAGATGTTTTTGATATTTTACAAATTTTACAAATTCTACAAATTAATTTGTAAAATCTGGAAATTTCGCTTTTTACACATGTACTTGCGAAATTTGTGAAATGCTTAATTGTTAACCATATTTGTTGGAATTTGGCCTAGTTCAGAAACTAATCTGCAAAATGTGTATAACTTGTAAAGTAACTCCAGCCAAATCTCCCCGGAAAGCAAATTCCCCAGAGTACGTTTCAATGTCAGCAAACATCCGATCTAGAATTACAAGCTGGATTTGAACAAACATTGCTCGGGGGTTGCAAATTGCACAAGCTAGTTTGTAAAAAGTCGGTCCAGAATTACAAAAATTACAAGTAAAGGTGTAAACATTGTAAACTTGATAAACTTGATCACCGTCCTTCCCTTAACGGCTTTTTGTTGGGTCAAGTTTGTTTCATTTTGAATCGGTTGAAGTTTGGTAAGGAAATGGGGAGGAAAGCATACTATCTTTTCATTTGGAATCTCTCTTTTCTGTTATTTCCATGTATTTGTTTTTCTTTAGGATCTCGAATTCATACTCCTTTCTTTATCTTTCACTCTCTCCCCTGATCATTTCTTCCTACAATCAACTCAATAAACTAGGATGGAAAAGACAGGGATAAAGAAATAAACATAAGATAGGTAAAGGAGAGAGGACATCTTCTGTAACACGCTTCTTTTGGGTAACTTTCATACCACACATACCTGACGGAGAAAGAGATGGAGAAAACCGTACAAATAGAAAGACATGGAAAGGCTGCTGGGATTGTCGGGATGGATTCATTTGTATCTCAGAGATTTTATCGCATACCAGGTTAGACCAAGCGATGAAGGTAAGGGAAAGGGAAAGGTGTGAAAGAACAAAGAATGATTAAGAAAATCTTCCGCCCAGACATCACGCAGAATAAACAGATAGCCTGTCCGTGAGACTTAGAGGATATGATGATTGAAGATTCCCTCACTATCCCTTTCCAGCCTGTCTTTGGGGCCTCTTCCAAATCATTGCCTGTTTCCTCTTGTCCATCCATCCTCATCCTTTATTTGCATGTATGGATGGGCAAGAAGTGACGAAAGCATTTGCAGGCAGTAATAATTACGGTAGAAAACGTAATATCCTCCCTTTCTGTTCAAAATCCTGTTTTATACAAGCTAACGTAATTCAAAAGCATAAAAAGGGCGCGAGACAGTTATGACAAAGCTAAAGACAATTATGGGTGGTGCTTACAGAAGCTATCTAACTTATTACGTGCTAATACATGCTTCTAATCTTAAAACCATACTTACATTCCTCGTTCTTTTCTATTTTATTCTTCTCTCGTTGAGATTCATTACGCTATCTTTCTTTGTGAATGCTTTTGGCTGTCCGGTCGTCCCTGGGGCTCACCGAAAGGAAAAAAGATTATGAGTAGGTCTTACTCATATTATTTTGCTTGTGTTTTACTATCTTTTGGGCCTTTCATCCTTCCCCCTTCTTCTGTTTCCCTTTTCAACCGTTGAAGAATGCCAGAAATCGAGGGGTGAAGGAAGGAGGGAGAAGCTAGCCCCCCGTTCCTTCTTCTCCAACTGTATCGCTAGTGGGGAGAAGATAGGAAGGAGATGAACCGTTCCATCTTTACCTTTCCCTTCCCCACTACGTTCTGGAGTTCTGTCACTACGAAAGACTCACAATGGAACAGTCTAAAAGTGGGACGAAGGAAGGGGATATTAGATTTATTTTTGGTTTATTTGTAGAAAAAGAAAGCCACTTTCCACAACCCGCTTCTTTCTGTAAAACACAGATGGAAGAAGATGACCTTTCCTTTCCCGGCCCAGCCAACGCTTGTCATTTTCCTTGCCTTGTCTTTTACATTGCCATGTTTTGGAAATGAAGAAGTAAAGCGTCTGGCAAGGAGGTAAGCGCCCATCAATACTAATTGAAGATAAAGAATTGGATGGGCGCTTACCATGTCTTTCTATCACTTCTTTCTTTCCTTTTGATGAAATTGAAGATTGAAAATGGGAAGTGAGAAGCCTCTCTTGACTTCTTCCTCAAGCATAGGCTGCTGTTAATCTTATGCCGTGTGATGCTTGGGAAGAAGAAGAAGAGCAGATAGGAGATGGTGAACAGAAGTACCGTGATTCTTCCTTTTCCTCCGATCGCATCCTGGTTTTCCCATGTATGTCACCCACCAACATCTTCAACCCATAAAGATTTGACTACAGAATCCTTAAAACCTTTTTAATAGCAAATGCTAGCGGTCTCTCTCTTTTGCTAATAATCTTCTGGAAATGAAAGGACAACAATAGAGCTTTAGATCATAGGATGGTGTAAGGACTGGGTTCTTCTCATCGCTGACGTCCTTTCCTTGTCCAAGTCACGGAGGAAGAGAGGTTGGCTTGTGATCCCAAGAGCTTGTATCCTTCCCTTTCTATCTCTTCCACTTCATCCAGGACACATTTGTGGATGGACATGTCGTTATTAAGATCATTGCCTTTCGGTTTACCATCCCATTTATTGCTTGAATGTCTATCTTCGTTGTCTTCTATTTACAATACTATCTGAGAAGTATAGGAATGCTTCCGGGTGTGAGGTTGAATAAATTAACGATGCAAAGAAAATCACGATGGTTGGAACAGAAAGTTAATCATTACCAAGAGTAGGTTCATAGTCTCTCATCTGCTGGTTGCATTCTCATGTACTTGTTCACTTTGCAACCTTTCTACTTGTTTATCTATCTTCCCAATCTCTCTTTCTCTCTCTCTCTCGCATTGTAAACGTTAGAGGCCTCTGGACGGGGGAAAAGAACCCGGGGGGGTAACAACAAATATGAAGAAGAGGAACTGGCTAACACTCCTTCTGCTCTCCCGTCTTTCGCGGCTATCAGGATTAGTAAGAGTTTCGATAAAGGCCTATGAAGAAACATAATAGATACGTAAATAAATAAATAAATAAATCAATAGGCAAATGACAGAACCAAGAACATGAAAGTAATAAAGAATGTTAATAAATGAAACGGTTTCTTGGGAGACAAATTATTCTTGTCCATCAAGAACCCTCTCCAACACAGTGAAAAAAACCTAGAGTGGACAATGATGGGTATGATAGAAAACGCAATAAGATAATAAAACGCAGTAAGCTATGAGATTACAAAGATTCTGTAATTATTGCCCTTAAATTCACCCCGTGTCCACTTCATCCCATCTACACAAAGATATTGGAGAAGATATTAGTGCATGATGAAGAATAAACGCAAATTATAACCATAGACAGTTTGCTTGACTCTGAAGAGGCTGTTGGTCTTTGCTCATGGAATTTATTTATTTGTATCTTCTTTCTGCTTTTGTTCTATTAGAATTTCCTTGCAACATCTCTCACCCACTTCCTATCTTATCCTTAGATATGTGCAATATTCTTGAGTTTTAGGTGTGAATGAAAAGGATATTAATAGTTCAAAGTTGCTGGAGAAGGACGGAACACTATTTACGAAAGGCTATCTATTTACTAGAATCTCATGAGTAAGGTTAACTAATTTGTATCGGTTTTTTAATGGGTTTCCTTTTGCCTCCCAAGCTAAAACTTGTCAAATCCTACTGAATCAATCTTCACTAATAAAATCATGTTCATCGCTAGAAGTGACCGAAGGAAGTTAATAGTTTTCTCATCAGAATATTGCCTGTCCAGATAGAGTGATGAATGAAGAGACGCTTAACTGTTATTATTGCTTAAGTGACGTCCCACGGACAGGCTACGTCTCCAGACCCTCTTTTATATCTCTGATTGTTCTTTCCCTTTATGTTTGTTTGACCAGCATTTGTTTACTATTTACTTCTTCCTCACTGACATTCGATCTTCTCTAACTCTGTTATCTGTTACTGTGGCTTTAATCATTTGACTAACATTTTCCTCTTTCCATTTCCATGCTCTATCTTGGTGAGCTAGCAAACGTTTAATTTAGAAAAGATATGGAAGTGATAGATAGGAGGACACCATTATTTGTTTCCATTAATACTACTTCACAAGGTATACCGTGTGCCTTTATTCTCACAACCAAAGAGAGGATGTTCATCTGGTCTTCATCACCCCTCACCCTTTTTTCTATTACTACAAACTAGCTGGTTCTTTCAGGGTGGGGCATGCCAAGACATTCCTTTCTACTCTTAGAATTGCACCAAAAGAGTCCATGTGCAACAGTGAGCCGTTCTGCTCTTGAAGGCGCGCGGCGGCACATTGTACGTAATCTTCCCTGCCACGGGGTGGGGGTGGGGGGGGGCGCGCGCGCGCGAGAGCGCGCGCGCGCGCGCTCGCGCGCGCGCGCGCGCGCGGCGTGCGTGCGTGCTGTGCGTGCGTGCGTGCGTGCGTGCGTGCGTGCGTGCGTGCGTGCGTGCGTGCGTGCGTGCGTGCGTGCGTGCGTCGTGCGGCGGCGCGTGCGGGCGGGCGGGCGGGCGTGCGGGCGGCGGCGGGCGGGCGGGCGGGCGGGCGGGCGGGCGGGCGGCGGCGGGCGGGCGGGCGGGCGGGCGGGCGGGCGGGCGGGCGGGCGGCGGGCGGGCGGGCGGGCGGCGCGTCCGCGCGTCCGCGCGTCCGCGCGTCCGCGCGTCCGCGCGTCCGCGCGTCCATGCTTCCGTGCGTCCGTGCGTTTGTGCGTCCGTGCGTCTGTGCGTCCGTGCGTCCGTCCGTGCGGCCGTGCGGCCGTGCGGCCGTGCGTCGGTGCGTCCGTGCGTCCGTCCGCGTGCGTGCGTGCCTCTGTGTGTGCGCATCACAGTGTGTATGCATGATTGTATACTGTAACATGATTTTCCGTATGTAGCTTGCCATCCTTTTTTGGCTATAAAGTCCACTGTTGTTCAAGCCTTAACAAGTCACGGGCAGAGGTCAAGTTCATTGCTCCAAGTGTGTCGTTTGATTGGCACTGATTGGCCTGTCTTTCGCACGAGCTGCTGGCAAAGCCGTGGCGGCAGCACCACTGCTCGGCCACTTGAACAGCAGCTTCTCGCCTTGGAATCTCTGTCACAGCAGCGCAACTCCATCCTAGGGAGGGCGTGGCAGCTCGTTTGAGGCCGGGACGCTTTCTTGACCAGCTCTGTCCTCACCGCAGGTAAAGCGCCGCTGCTACATCTGAATCTAACAAGCGAAGGTCCTGACATCATCAGTTTCAGGCCCTGGGCGCAAGCAACTTGGCAATGGGCGGCAAATGGTCAGGGAGTGGTGGGTCTTGCAAGTGTGGCATATCAGCACTGTGTTGCTGGGTTGGGGACTTAGAATCAGGTCTTCGTAGGCGCACGTGAAGCCGCGCATTTGCAACAAGAGCGTGAAAAGCCTTGTGTGCCAAATTGAGCTAGCGAGAGGCTCAAAGCGAGTTTGGGGGCTGGGCCTTGCGATGCCCGACAGCCACAAACCTAGAGGCGTGACCATTCAAAGCCATCAGGACTCGTGGGAAGTGCCCGATGGGGCAAAGCAATGGACCCATGCATGAGGCCCAGCCCCAAACATGGCGGAAGCACTGGCAAGGCGGCCACCCATGAGCTCGAAACACAGGTGCCTGGCACCCCCACAGTCAACTTCCTCGCGTGACGCATAATGCTGCAGGCGTTGCGTTATGCCGGCGGCTTCAGCACCTTATCAGCAGATCATCCATTCAAACCTGAATTGAAACAAAGCTGCTGCGGGTAGAGTCAAGTGCAGCGCCAAAAGATGCTTTGTCAAGAACCTCGATAACCACCAGTGATCCGTCTGATTGCGCCATGAGCCCTGCTCACAGATTCGCCGAGCTGCCAATGCGTGACTTTTTGAGGGCCGAACACCCTGCAGAAGATCCGAACCCCGAAAAACGATGGTAGCCTGCAAGGCCAGCTCAAGGGCCCGAGGCCGTGATTGGCTCTCAAGCGGCACATTGGTCCAGCCTCCTCTTTGTCCCCATCCAGGCGACCGTTCCAAATGTCTCCTGGCCTCCGGCGAAAGCGGCCTCTGCCCAAACTGGAATCCTTCCGCAAACCACTCTTCACAAGCCGGGCACCATCCTCGCCAAACCCCAGCAAAAACGGGTGCTGGCGGCTTGGTCTTAGGCGTTTTGCTTTTACCGTCCAGGTTGATACCAGCCGAAGTCTCGCATGCCTGTCGAAACAGTCAGCAATACTGTTCATTGCCATTCAATATCTGTGCAACGTCTTGAGGATCCAGGCCTTGCCCTCAGAGCAAATCTTGATGAGATGCTTCAGCAGCATCCCAAGCACCTGTTGGGCTGGTCTTCTCCCGACTGCAAGTTTGTCTTTCAGCACTCCGTGTCTCAACATTGCAAGCCCTGAAACCCTCGCACCTGTTTTCCTGACCACATTGGGACAGGCCGAAGCCTGGGCTAGGTGCCCCATCATGCAGCGTTTAAAAAAACGGTGGCGGTCCGCGGTCCTTGTGCAAGACATGGTCTACATGGCTTGGTAAGATCGAGGCATGGCCGGCGGATCCAGCGTGATTTTCATGCGCTGATCCTGGGTGTCCAAAGTCTCAAGATTTACTAAGCAACGTTGTCTTTGTAAATCCCATATATGATCATGACCAAAGCTGGAAGTCTGGAAGAATTGCCAGTACTCGCTTCGGCTCACATTGCATTGCACTGACGCAGAACATAATTGACGAACTTGCACAAACATCTGCCTGGCCCTGACTTGGGGCGCGACCACAACATTCAGTTTGGGCCGGTGCCACGGCTTGTCCTCAAAGGGATCCCGGTCCTCCTGCAGTGACAAATGTTCTCTATAAGCGTCATGTAGATTGCTGCAAAGAAAACAAACAAACAGTAAGGCAGGCGTCCTCGTCCTTGCCCTGCTTCTCCTTTGGGCTTGCGCGAAATATCAAGCACTACTGGTGAAGTTGATGGCAAATTTGATAGCTGACTTGAAGCTCTGTCTCTGCCTCATCATCTTCATCGTCTTCCCATTCCTGTCAAGATTTACAACTTTCCCTCTGAGCCTAGCCTCTTGCTTTGTCATGTCGGCGTATCACCATCACCACATACTGGATTCTGTCCTGCGCATCGTCACCACCACTTGCCTGACACATGGACTTATGCCAATCTGTAATGACTTTCGTGACTTAATGAGTGGTGACACGCATGTCGTGCCTTTCTCGCCTTCCTTGGTCAAACGCATTTCGCAGCTTTGCAACAGGCCGAGGCACAAGCGGCTTCGGCTTGGATGGCTCCAACCTGAAGACGTGCCGTGGCAGATTGGCTCTACAGCTTTCCGTGCTTGGCGCAGGGCGCATGTCGAAGGCCGGTATAGAGAAGCAAACACACCTAACGCAAAGCTGCACAAACAGTCACTTCATTCTGCGGTTGCGGCCTCCGGTCGTGTGTAGAAGCCTTGGTGAAGTGCTGTGCGAAAGCTTGAGCTGTCCAGAGTTTGAAGATGACAACTTTTCCTACCCTGCACACTTCGCGCATAATTGAGCTAGCCTGGATCTAAATTTGTCAAGGGGCTGTCGCGCTTCGTCAGCATAGTCCCTGCGATGACGTGGTCCTGTTGACAGGCCATGGTCATGTTACAATCATTGATAATCATGGCCATGGGAGTGTCCTGGATCAAACCTCGCAGCGGCTTTCCTGAGGTTGGCACCAAGTACCTTAAAGAGCAATCCAAGAACTACAAATTCGTAAGGAAAAGGCAACATGCTCTTGTCCAGAGATGGAAAAGGGTCACTGGAAGTCCGCTCTGGCAATGGCAAGAGCCTCCATGCGGCTGATGGGGTCCTGAACATTGCAAATCGGCATCATCGGCATCGGTTCTGCATCGGTTCTGTGCCTGGGGAGCATGAAGATTCATCTCGTCGCCATCAAAGTCTGCGTTGTAGGTGTTACAATTCACCTGAGGAACGAGCGCGCCCCTGCTCTTAAGTCGGTACCGGGCAAATAAGAGCAAGTAGTGGGCCCTGGACATAGTGCAAACGGATCGTTCGCTCTCGACGAAGCACCTTGCAGTGACACATCTTCAGATCTGAATTGCTACACAGCCTGAAAGCATGGCTTGCATCTGACTTCCAGGGTATTGTGCAGGACTTTACTGCATGCCCAAGAGTTCAAGGTGCCCTCTCTCGCCTTGACCATGTGCGCCATGATGCCCGGCCTGTCCAAAAAAAGTTCCCAGCTAGTTGATTCGGACAGCTTTGGCCCCTGCTTGTGAAGTGTTGGTTGCCGGTTGACCAGAAGCGGATCACCTCGTGCCACTGCTTCAGGCAGCTGAACGAATGCGCGTGCAAAAGGCCCTTGCCCAACTTGTCACTGTTCCTCTAAGCTGGATTATTCAACCATGCGGGCTCGACCATCTTGCAGCTGTCGGAAGACCGTCCACGGGGGTTTCCCACTCCTGCGCTAGAGTTCCACTTTCCCTCTGAGATTAAGAACATGTTCATGTTCAGGTACAAAGTGACTGCATCCAAGTGCAGAACGCTGTTTGGAGAACAGGCTCATGCATGGTACTTGTTCAGAAGATGAGGCCTGATGTCTGTGATGAGGTTCTTTGCAAGCGCCTTTCTTTCAGCCTTCAAGGTGCCGCGAGACATCAATGTGAGCTCACAACCACTTTAAAGCATAAGATACAGGCGTCCCGTGGTTGCACAAAAGGTTGGGCACGTGGAATCCAGAACATATTTGAATGCGAGGTTGCAAGCTGACATCACCTACCAGCTAAAGCCATAGAGCACATGTGCAAAAGGTTGAGCTGCTGGATCTGGGACAAATGAGGTGTGAAAATGGTTTGCTGTTGAGCGATGCTGGCTGCCTCAGCATCCCAGGCCTTCGTCTTTACTTTCAAATTGGTGATAATTTTGCCGCCGTCTGCTCGTGGAGCATGCACCTTTCAAGCAGCTCACAGCCCTGAAGGCTTCCTTGAAAACTCTCCGCCGCGTAAGCTGTGTGGCACTGCAATTGCTTGTCAACACACCGACCCACCAAACTTTGCAATTTTCCGGAAGATTCCGGAAGGAACCTTGCCTCCAGGGCTCCTGGATAGCGTGCACCACGTTCCACAAGGTCCCGGAGCCATTCAGCATTGTACTGCGTAGCGACCTGAAAGGAGAACCAGCGCTTTGCTCAGCAGTTCGCGCAAAAAAAACTTCACTTGATCTAATTTCCACACGAAGCCTCTGGTGTCAAATGGATACGAGCAAAGGCAAGCTAATCGTTACAAGTATGGTCAATCTTTTGAAATGTATCCATGTCAATTACTGTCCGCCAGTTCTCAGCGTACCTCTGGATAGACCAGCTCGGAAGCAATATCCTGAGGCACACCGATCCTCAGCCAACAGCAATTTTAGTAGCAGCCTCCCCACAACTGGGTGAAGTCCCTCAGAGCGAAAAGGTCAGTGCTTTCTGCGCAGGAGGTATGTTTCTGCAACAAACGTAGAGAGGCCCTTTCTCTGATGTGTCCAGGCACATGGTCTTTGCTTGCAGCCAACTGCAGCCTCACACCTAAGGCAACTACTCGGAGGGCTCGATATTCGGGTCAGGCGAGATGACGGAGCGCGCAGCAAAATTAACGCCTTGCTGTCGAGGCAACATATTCCAGGGGAGGAACGCGTGCAGTCTGAGATGCAGGCGCTTTCCCATCATCTTCATTCCTAAATGGTCAGCGCAACTACAATCCAGAAAATATAGCTATACATTCTGAATGCAAGCAGGGTGCTGAACAAGCCTTCCTTCTTTTCCAGCAGCTGCCGAATTCCATCATCTACAAGCTTTGGATTCTTCCCACCTTCAACGAGTGATGACTTGTCGGCTGACTGCTATTCAGCTAGCTGGGGTCTGGGCTCTTCATTTTGTCCATGAAAGAGTTGACTGCTTGCCTCGCATACAGCTGACTGCACTGTCCGCTAACACCTTGCTGACGCTCACGTTCGAATAGCCTGAGATACAAAGTCGCTGAGGTCGCCACTGCAAAGCACCCACGGCTTGATGTAGCTCCAGCGGTTGGGCCACTTCCTTCTACGGCTCTCTATGGCAGTCAGGTCAATTCAACATCAGCTTGCCAGCATCTCAACCCGGAATTGCAAAGGCCTCCAGTCGGTCAGGCTTCATCGCATTTCTGACCTGACCCGAGCAATGAAAGCGCACCGCCTTCGGACAAAATCGATTGCTTGCTTGGTCGATGCAACCCGCGCCATGCCTGCTGATTGGCAAGCATGATGCCTGAATGCATGGGCTGACACTTGGGAAGGCGTCTCAACGCTGGAGAATCAGCTTTGCCCCCCCCCCCCCCCCATATCTGCGGATTTGGGGGTTGTGTGCGTGTGTACGCGCTTCCAGCATGAACTAGAACCAGGACCTCACATTCGCTTGCAACACCCACAGCCTATACCACAGCTGGGCACTGTGATATGCTTTGCGCGGCGCGTTCAGCACCGCAAAACAAACATGTATGCTGCTAAGCGTCATTGTGTGCATGTTTGGGCTCAGGATGGTACGCCAAAACTCAGCGTGAAAGCTGGCTTTGCTGGGCAAATATCATACCTGTTTCAGAATATTTGTCTCAGGACATGTGAATGCGATAGGAAGGAACAAAAAGGCGTGTATCACAACATGTCCGAGACACAGCAGTCGGCACATGCGTCTGCTGCAAGCGTGTTCCGTGCGTGTTGACCAAGGGAAAATCCTCGTGGCCTGTATTTCCTTTCATCGCGATCATACCGAATCAGATTTGGGTGTTGCTGTCATACTACCGTCATGCGCATGCGTCACTGGTACCATTTTGGGGTAGGTGCAACACCCACTTTAGTCTATTTTAGTGGGGATTGGGATGTTCACTGGGGGGTAACCGGGGTTTTAACCATGGCCATGTGGTCTGTGGCTTGCGGTGTTTGCGCGCATTCTTTTCAGAAAAGATTACGGCGCACTGCTGATCAACTCGCCGGTTGCGACACTTCAGAAATTCAGGTACATCGAATTGCGCTTGGCATTTAGCACAGTCGCGAAGCAGTCGAAAATCGGTGCAACAATGAAGTGTATGGATTACTAACGGCAACTACTAGGGATTCCAAAAAACAAAATGAAATTGGGGCACTCTGCTTCCGCCTGAGGCTGTTTTCCATCTGCCGCAAGGTACTAAATTTCTGGTGTTAGATTGACGCCAAGCGCTATGTCTCGTTGGGCATGGCCACTGTGTAGGCCAGCAAGTAGCGCCAATTGAACACAGAGTCATCACAACGCATTTGGTCAGCGAGTCCGGTTGACCAAATCAAATTTCGCAGCAAAGGGTTCATATTGATGGGGGCCGCAGGCCCACGGGCCCCACGAGCCCGACACGGCTTCACGGGCCCAGCCTGCCCTTTGACGCTTGTTTGTGTGAACACATGTGTTTTTGCGGTTGTATGGTGTGTATGTATGAATGCAAGTAAGTAAGTATGTCAGTGAGTACGTATGTAATTGTGTAAGCATGTAAGTATGTAAATATGTAAGTAAGTAAGTATGTAAGTAAGTGAGTAAGTAAGTATGTAAGTATGTCAGTATGTAAGTAAGTAAGTATGTAAGTATGTAAGTATGCATTTAAGTATGTAAGTATGTAAGTAGGTATGTACGTATGTGTGTGTGTGTGTAAGTGTGTAAGTGTGTAAGTGTGTAAGTATGTAAATATGTAAGCATGTAAGCATGTAAGCATGTAAGTATGTATGTATGTGTGTATGCGTATGCGTATGTGTATGTGTATGAGTATGTGTGTGTGTATATGTGTATGTATATGTGTATGTATATGTGTATGCATGCATGCATGCATGCATGCATGCATGCATGCATGCATGCATGCATGTACGTACGTATGTATGTATGTATGT